GCAGGGTTCCTGTTTTGAAAGATGAGACACAAATTTTAATTTTTAAGAACCTGATAGGTTGTTGCACAGTTAAGACCGTTATCACTGCCTAATCCTCACTGTCTTTACAAAATGTACTAGAGACTCCTAATGAGATCAGTTAATGGAAGCATTTGGCTAAACTAAATGTGGGATCTCTTTTTAATCCAAATCAGTTCTAGGGAGAGAGACAGATTTTTGTTCTAAAGAGACCAGATTGTCATAAAAAAATGTTGAACAATGCAATTATTGCTGAATTTGGAAGTGATTTTTCTAAACCCCAAGGTTTTATTCCTTACTTTTGGCTTTGTTTAGGTTTGTGGTGCTCAGAGGTAGATGCAATCTTAATGATTTAGTCAAGCCCTCTCAGTTCACAGAGGAAAGATGTTTTAAGTTACCTTCAAACAGTGGTTCTCAAATTTGAGCATCTGCCACTTGGGACAGCTTGTTAAAACGGAGTGGTCTGAACTGTTGATTCCGTGGGGCTGGGATGAGGTCTGAAAATTTGCCTTTCTGATAAGTTTTCAGGTGATGCTGCTGCTGATTCCACATTTTGGAATCAGTATTTTTTTTAAGTATGGAGAATGTTACAACTTTTCACTGGGGAGCTTCAAATCTGAAAAAACCGTAAGACATATCACGACAATATTAATTTTTCTTCAAATGATGAAAATAATGAAATGCAGATAGGAATCTGCAAAAGTCTTAGTGAACTGGATAAATTATTTTATGCTAAGATTATGAAAATTGAAGTTTTATTTATCCTGTTGGATGAGTAGAATTACATTGCTCAGTTAACAAAAAGTAACAATAGTCTCTTTTACCCCAAGCACTTAACTATGTTCCACCTAAAGTTATCACTTAATTATCTTTCAGATAAGCTGTCAGTTTCTCCTGTGTAATTTCAGACACACTTTGATCATATTTTTTATATAAATGGTGGTATAATACACACAAATATAAGTTCTCTTGTATAGTGCCTTGAGATGTACATACATAAACAGGGTCGGTCTCTCTCTCTCTCTCTCTCTCTCTCTCTCTCTCTCTTTCCATATCATTGCCAGCCTCTAACTTTAATTCACCATCCTCCTAACCCTACCTCCTAAGTGCTGCTGTTATAAGATGGTACCACTGGAGGACTACTGTTTTGAAATAATCCCCATCCTTTCATATATACCCAACTGCAGCGTTTTCCTCTTTCAAATATGTCAGGTTTTAAATAATTTAATTATTACTGAACTGAACTACTATCAAATTTATCTCTTCTGTCTAAGAAAGGCACACACTGTCCCTAGCATTTTGCAGTTTTTTCTTTAATTTTTTCCCAAGCTTTGTTATGAATCATCAGAGATGAAAGCAGCCGACACCCTTGCATTGAGTACTCACCAGTTTCCTGTTCTCCAAATGCTTGACCCGATCCTCCTGTGGATGCTTGAGTGTATTCTCTATGCTGAGACTGTATATCTGCTTCTCCAGCACACCGTACAAAGTGTCTCAAGGGCCTTTTGTTGCTTTCTCCGCTGAGCATACTTGGAGTCAATGATTTTGGGTAAACTCTTGATTTAAATAACCCCTTAGAAACAGATTTATAATTATCTTCTGTATCTCAGGAGCAATATGCCTGGACATTAAAATGTCACAACTTTATATGTACTTGGAAAATGAGCCTAGGGTTTTAAATGAAGTGGATGAGGGTTGGAGTGCCCAGGTACTGGCAACAGGCGAGAGCGTGATCACCCCAGAGCAAGGCAGCGCCACTTGACACTTACAAAGGTCAGCTGTATGTTAAAGACCAAGCTGGGAATTGAGTATGAAAAGATGGATTGACCTTTTCATGTAGTGTGACCAGGTGGCCTCTCATGATGGTGACAACGTGTGGACTCTGGTGCAGGTGGGATTGGATTCAAGTCCTGTCTCCCTTTCTCCAAAGAATACACCATTATATATCAATATTAAACTTGGCTTCAGGACTCCTATATTAAAATCCACCCACCCAGGGCTAAGGTACCATTTTGTAAGAGGGGAGCCAGGGAGGAGGTGCGGGACCATAAGGAAACAGAGTCCTACAGGCTCCTTCTCACACAAACCTACAGCAATGGTGTCAGCATGCACAAGACTCACGTAAACTCAAGAAGAGAAAAACTCAGCACAGAACCGTGGAAATTTACAGCAGGCCCCAATCTTAGCTGAAGAATTGTTGGCAGCTGATTACTGCTGGGTGAGGAAGAGCTGATCTTCTTAAAGGAAGGGTCTCCAGGTAGGCTGACTAGACCTCAGTAAATGAACTTGCACTGAGGGACATCTGGGGGCACTAACTTGACATGATAGGCCTTCAAACAAATGACAGAATGTATGAATTCCAGTTGGGAGGGGGCTATGGGTGGTACCAATGGGGTAGGGGTATAAAGTTGATTAAGAGGTCCTACAAGAAATATACAAAAATTCAATAAAAAGTTAAAAATTTAAAAAAAAGAAAAAAAAAAACCATTAAGCTTGACTTGCTGCCATGTAAGAAATGAGAGTGAGCTCCTCCATACCTGAGTTCCAGGACTGTAATGGGTTACTGTCTTATCTGAGTCTACTTGAATTCTGGTAATAAAAGAGCATAAATTGAATGGCTTTGACATCAGAAAGTTATTTTCTCACAATTATGGAGGTTGGGAAGTCCAAGATGAAAGCCTATTAGCATTCAGTTTCTGGTGAGTGCTGTCATCCCAGCTTCCAGAGGGCCACCTTCTTGATAGGTATGTGTATGGCACTTTCATTGCCTGGGGTAGGGGAGAGGGAGGGGGAGAAGATGTGGGGCAGAAAGAAGGGAAATGGGGAGGGAGAGACACAGAGAGGGAGGTGGTGGGGAGAGAGACAGAGTGAGAGGGGAGAGATGGAGAGAGGGGAAGGGGAAGAGGAAGAGAGAGAGAAATATATATAGAGAGAGTGAGAGCAAGAGCGAGAGAGATCCAGTACCTCCTCTTATAAGGGCACAAACCCCACCACTGAGATCCCATCCTCATGATCTCATCTAACCTTACTGATTCCCCAAGGCTGTATCTCTGAATATCATCACACTGGGGATTAAAACTTCAATATGACTGTCAATCGCTTAGCCAGTTCCTGCAATTAAAGAATTAGTAGTTAGTAGCACCTTTAAGTTTCCTTCCTTCTTTGGGCTTCTACGACCAGCTCTTACCAGATGTAACACTAGACTGGGAAAAACAAGGAATAGTTCACCACCATCTACTGTACATATAAGAAACTTTTGTGGGGCTGCTAAAATGGCTCAGCAGATAAGGGTGCTTGCCCCCAAACCTGACAGCCTGAGTTCAATCCCAGGACCCACATGATGGAAGGAGAGATCTGACTCCTGCAAGTTGTCTTCTGATTTCCACATGTGTATTGTGGCACGCATGCACCCACATGCAAATAAAAGAAATAATCGTAATGAAAAATATTTTATTATTTTTTATTTTATGTGTATGAGTGTATTGCCTGTATCTATGTAAGTGCACTCGTGTCGTGCAGTGCCGCAGAGGTCAGAAGAGGGCTTCAGAGTCTCCTGGAACTGGAGTTAAGGACGGTTCATAGCCACCATGTGGATACTGGGAATTGAACCCAGGTCCTCTGCAAGAGCAGTCAGTGCTCTTAACCACCAAATCACCTCTCTAGCCCCAATATATGTAATTTTTATAAAAGAAGCTTTTGTGATAAATTTAGCTGTCAGACTTAAGCTTTCTTTTCTCTAGGTTCTAATTCTCCAGCTAGTCTCTTGAGCTCAGTACTAATTCCTACTTTATAGTAATAGGATTGTGATCCAGAGGGAAGTACTTGCCTATAGTTTTCTCTAAGTGGATATTGAAATAAATTTGAAAATGTGAGCATTTCATTCAGCATATCCTGAAGTTGCAATCAGTGATCATGTAAATGTAATCTAAAAGTTTATAGTAGAAATTATAGATGTTACATATTTATTTCTAAAATTTCAAATACTTAGCTATTTAAGAAACATATCAGGCTAGAGAGATGGCTCAGAGGTTAAGAATACTGGCTGTTCTTGCAGAAGACCCAGGTTCAAATCCCAGCATCCACATGGCAGCTAACAACTGTCTGTAACTCCAGTTCCAGGGGATCTGACAGCCTCTTCTGTCCTCTTCGGGCATTGCACGACACAGGTACACTTACCTGCAGGCAGGCAACACACCAATACATGCATACACTTAAAAAAAGTTTTAAAAAAAGAAACGTCTTTCCTGTTAAACTGGAAAATTTATCTTTATCTTCTTTTTTATTTTTTAAAAAATTTTATGTGTATGAGCATATTGCCTGTGTGTAGGTAAGTGCATCCGTGTCGTGCAATGCCCACCAGGACAGAAGAGGCCATCGGATCTCCTGAACTGGAGTTACAGACAGTTGTTAGCTGCCATGTGGGTGCTGGGATTCGAACCCAGGTCTTCTGCAAGATCAACCAGGGTTCTTAACCGCTGAGCCATCTCTCCAGCCCCCACCTTTATCTTCTTGTTGAAGTTAGTTTTGAAGAGTTGACTGTATGTGAAGAAATAAAAGTTGTTTCAGGGCTGCAGAGATGGCTTAGAAGTTAAGAGCACTGGCTGTTCTCGCAGAAGACCTGAGTTTGAATCCCAGCACCCATATGGTGGCTAACAACCATCTATAACTACAGTTCTAGAGGATACGATGCCTTCTTCTGGCCTCTGTGGCATTGCATGACATGAGCTGGCTCACATACATGCAGGCAATGCACTCATACACATAAAGTAAAATAAATGAAGTTTAAAAAAAGTTGTTTCAAAAGTGAATGAAATTGAAAATGGAAAATTAGGGACAAGATACAGAAAGGACACAGGGCTCACATCCCAGAGGTTCTCAAATCTAAGATTACTTCCCATATTGGAGAAGACTCACACTTCCTCCCAAATACTTGAATTGTGCTTTCATGCATCACGGAGAAGAGTGCGTTTTAATTCCAACAG